ACTGCACCAGATGCTACAAAGTACGTTAGCGAAGGCGATCAAAACTGGGCCTTGGACTCTTACCTCCTGTGGCGCCCACTGCACCCGATGCGCCTGTTGGACCTGTGGCTCCGACTGCGCCTGAAGCACCAGTAGCACCGACGGCTCCGGATGCACCAGTCGCTCCAACTGCTCCTGACGCTCCAGTGGCTCCAACGGCACCTGAGACACCCGTTGGACCTGTGGCTCCGACCGCACCTGATGCGCCCGTTGGACCAGTGGCTCCAGTGGCACCGACTGCTCCCGATGCTCCAGTGGCTCCAACTGCACCCGATGCACCGGTGGCTCCAACTGCTCCTGAGGCTCCAGTGGCTCCGACTGCTCCTGAGGCTCCAGTGGCTCCGACGGCACCTGATACACCCGTCGGACCTGTGGCACCAACCGCACCTGAAGCACCAGTAGCGCCTACCGCGCCTGAGGCACCTGAAGCACCCGTAGCACCTGTCGCTCCTACAGCACCGGAAATACCTGTAGGACCAGTTGGACCAGTAGGACCAGTCGGACCGGTAGGACCCGTTGGACCAGTAGGCTAGAAAAGAGTCTTAGCAACGTGTCTTCCATCACTCGAGTTTGATACGTACGCCAACAATCGTCGACAAGATGAGTCCAGCACAAGAAGACGTCGAGAACAGCGTCAGCTGCACCTTCAGACAGCCTTGTGGAGCCGCTCCATCCTGGAAGACTGCGTAGATGCTTCCGTTGTTCATGGAACAAAATTGAGCTTCACCACTTGCGAAGCCGGTGTTCATCCATACAAGCTCACCTGCCTGCGCGAGAGAGAACGTCGACTGGATGGTGCCAGGAGAAGTCGATGGGATAAATAGCTGATAAGGCACACCAGGCTCAGTGGAGTAGGTGTAAGCTACGCCATTGATGATAGCGCTGAGACTGCCATTGCGGATTTGGTAGATTGGCGTTGTTGTACAATCGTTGGATACTGTGCCGTTGCCGTTGATATATGTCTGACTGCATGTCAGCTTCTATATGCTACTTGTTGTGCACATCACTTACACCGCCAGCCTGACGCTTTTGTGCTCCTCGTGCGCCCATTGCTGCAATAACATAGTAGTCGCCCAGATCAGGATATGGTGTGGACATCGCTCCAGACTGTGCCAGACTTGGGTATGCAAGGGCTGTAGAGGGCGCGTATGGAGAACTGATGATTGACATGGGCACGTTTGCTTGGGTCCATCGAAAAGTGGACACTGCGTTGATGCTTGTCGGCGCATTGGTGATCGTGACAGGCGCTTGAGGGATCGGGTAGAATGTAGTATTTGTGAGGACATCGGTGTTAATCGATACGGCTTGCTCGCGGACGGTGTAAGTCTGGATGAATCTCGAGACAATAAGACATGCTGAGTTGTCCTGTGCGCTCAGAGGAAGTGGATAGCTCAGCCATAAGCCGAGGAGCAGACTCCTTAGAGGAGTGTTCGAAGAAACCATGGCGTGCTAGAGGAACCAAGAAACAAAACGAAGGTGAGGTGAGTAAACGAGAGACTCTGACCAAGGCGCACACGCGACAACGGCCAACAAGAGGTGGTTGACGGTGGAACTCATATCGAAAAGGTGTATGTATATTTGCGCCTTGCGCAAAACAGACCGTGTTGCTGGGTGCGGTAGCGCGCTCGCTCAGGAATGCAGATGGACTGTTATTTGGTAGTTCGGCAGGAATTTGTGCTGTCTTCTTTCCGTATTCAGGAATCCACGCGAGATAGCATTGCGGGCAGTGGCATCTCTAAGCGTGCTCACAGTGTTTTCCGTGCTGCTGTCAGATCTCTGGTCACGTTAGCACAGCTCACGTTGCATCAACAAGACCGCTCAGGTATCTCAGAAATCGCCGACAGATTTCAGCACCGAAAAGCATGGTCCAAGACCATCAAATGACCATCGACGGCTGCTGCTGGCAATACTAGCCGTGTCGGCGCACAGCGGACCAGAATTCCGGTTGTTGCAGCGGCCAACACACGCATTCCAGAGTGCACAGTCATTCCTCAGCGTGGTCTGCGCGAGTCTACGACCCCGAGCCAGGCCTGACGATGCCGCATATAGGATGCAGGTCTCATACGATCTGTGAATTGTTGCGGTTCGCGCAAGTGAACGCTTTGCCACGCGTGGTGCTTGCCATATTCGCATGCTGCCAGCAGACTCGCTCTAGCCGAAAAGCCTTCAGTGGCTATCGGAAAGATCGGACCTGCGGATAGTCTAGGCTGGACCGCTGATGAATATAAGTCTGGGCCCTGCCCGTGGAGAGACTGCTGGTCGATGAGGACGAAAACTTCACCTGTCCACCATGAGTTCACGCTTGAGCTCGAGCGCGGTCAGAAGAATGGCATCAGCATGCGGCGCCATTCGCAGTTCTGCACAGTGCTGGGTGCATGGGGCGTTGATCGCGGCAGGTAGGACGTGGCGATGCGACTTGCACGACGGGATGGTGAAGGTGAAGGTGGACGCGTTGCGCTTGATCTCGCGACGAGAGCCCTGCCAAGCCCAAGAAGGGCTGGCATGACTAGCGTTGCCGGTATCCGAACCGCTAGCAAAAAAGTATGCCAGCGGAAGCTTCGAACGTCGATTTGTGCAACTGCATGATGCGATAGCACACGACCATACCAAGTTGTAGCAGTCATGGCCGCCGAGGTGAAACCCGTTGCACCCATACGATCGGCTCCGGGTCCAGCGCCAGAGACGGTCGACACAACATATTGGAAGACATTCAAGAATCAGCTTCTGCTCCCATCGCCTCACAACGCCGGTATCACGTCCATCACCGTTCCCGACTACAACCCTTCAGGCTCGCAAGCAGACACTTTTGCAATCACGAGTGGTAGCAGAGTACAGACGTACAGCACTAAGACGAGAAAATTGGTCAAGACAATCAGCAGATTCGGCGTGGACGACACAGCGCGATCAGGTGTTCTGAGGCGCGACGGCCGCATTGTGCTTGCGGGAGGCGACAGTGGCATCATACAGGCCTTCGATACAGGATCACGCGCTATCCTGAGACAATGGCGGGGCGAGCATGCACACAAGCAACCTGTGCATATCGTGCGGTGGAGCCCAAGCGTGCTCACAGACTTGATGAGTTGCAGCGACGACCGAACGGTGCGCGTATGGGACTTGACTGAAGACGCTGCAAAGTGGACTGGAATTGGACACGATGACTATGTGCGCACTGGCGGCTACTTGCCAGGCCATGGCGGAAATATGCTCGTCAGTGGCAGCTACGACCAGACAGTGCGTATTTGGGACACGAGACAGAACGGCGGGCGATCGGCCTTGACCTTCAAGTTTGGCAACAAGGTCGAGGATATACTCTCCCTCAACAGCGCAAGTCTAGCAGTCGCGGCGGGCAATGAAGTCTCCATCGTCAATCTGGTAGCGGGACAGGCTGAGCATGTGATTCGTTCCCACCAAAAGGATGTCATGGCACTTTCTTCGGCGCAGAACGGGACGCGCATATTGACCGGAGCGTTGGATGGCCATGTCAAAGTGCACAACACCGCCAGCTGGGAGGTCGTCGCCGCTTTCAAATACCCGTCGCCCATTCTGAGTCTGGCGGTTGTGCCGGGAGCAGCTAATAGCGATGGCGAACGAGACGATAGGCATCTGGCAGTCGGACTTCAAAGCGGCCTGCTGTCACTCCGAACACGATTGGCAGGCGCGGAAAAGGCGAAGGTGCGAGAGAGAGAAAAGAAGATGGCGGCTTTGGTGGCAGGCGAGGCGGACGAATACGAGCGGAAACAAAAAAAGAAGGATATGCGACAGGGCATTCGGGCGCGCGATCGAGGCAAAGATTTCAAAGGCGAGGGCGCCGACATTGTCATCACTGGCAACGACCGCCCGCGCCAAAAGAAGCTGAAGTCCTGGCAAAAGAACTTGCGTGCAGGTGAATATGCGAAAGCACTGGATGAGATCCTGCCGGTGTCCGGCTCTAAACAACACAGTAGAGACGAGCTCATGACCTTGATCACAGTCTTGAGACATCGGAGTGCACTGCGTACGGCATTGGCCGAACGTTCGGCATACCGGCTCCTCCCCATCATGACCATGGTGCACAGATATGTCGGTCATCCACAATACATCAATCTGATGTACGATGTTCTGCTGGTCATCTTGGATCTTTATAGTCACAAGCTTGGCGATTGGCAGATGGATGATGGCAGCGAGAAGGATGTCGTTGCTTTGATACACAAAATCAAGGCTAAGGTCAGGCAAGCGGCCGATTGGGCCACAGCTGCTCACCGCACATTGGGTATGGTTGATGTGCTCGAGTCGGGTTGAAACAAGCCTCTGCCTCCCGTTCAGGACGAACTACACGAGCTGCAGGTGACGACACAGGAGCCTCCTTGAACAGCTTGATGCTAATCCCCAACCGCGCCAGAAAGGGGAAACACTGCAGCACTGCTTAGGCAGATACAATTGCACATATTGCCGTGGAATTGCCAGTCTCCCGCACGTCGGTGCACTTCATGTAGAAAGATGCTGGCATGCTCTCGCTAGCACGTGCGAAGCACGCACGAGGGATATTTCCAGCAAGCCACTGGTCTCCAAGGCTCCAGGAAGTTTTATCTCGACTTCATCGCAAGCATAATGGCGAAGGAGAGAGAGCATTTCGAGCGACGGCGAGCTATCAACCATCTTTGAGGATCCGGAATAGCTGAGGAAGGTAGAAGAGACAGCGCAACAAGAAAGAGCGCTCTGCTTCAATAATGATTTCATGGCTCTACCCACATACTCCGAGCTGCAATTGCCGCTGATTCACTGCCGCCCCCGCATGTTCCTCATCGTTGTGGAGCGATGCCCCTGCATGTCGCTCATAGGCCAGCGGCTGTGTCGGAGTTTATGCGGAGCACATCGGAGGCAGTTGCTCTCGCCATCTCGTGATTGCAGTCGAAACACTATACATGCAGCTGTTTCCGCTGAGACAGAGCCTCTATGTGCATTTCTTCTGACGAAGATCATTGCAACCAGTGATCCGAAATGGCATTTACATCATCGTGCTCGCTGGTCGAAGCCAGCATGAAGCAGCTCAGCAGAGCACTTGTCAACAACGCCAGACACACCACTCGTTCATTCGCGACAAGCAGGTCACGCTACACTAATGCCTATCCCGCATTATCGACAAAAGCCCACGCAAGCATTTCCGACATTCTCGCACAGAATGTGGCGGCTGGGAACCATCGAGTCACCGCTGTGCAATGCACAATACTGGACAGTCCCGTCCTGGATACGAGCCTAGGATCCGCCAGACATTCTCAAACAGATCTCGAGGATACTAGGCTAGGCAATACCAAGATCAAACTTGCAACATCAGGCATTCCTGAGAGGCTGGTGAAGGTCCAGGCGATGGTGGAGATGGTTGTCAAAGCAAAAGAAATCGGCGTCTCTGAGGAGATCACTTCGATGGACATTTGAATTCTGTGGCCGGATTTGCAAACGATGGGCAACGCTAGGCGTCACTTTTTGGCGCACATTACAGCATAGAGCGCGGATTGAGAATGGGAAGTGCGATCCTCATCACTGGCGCTGGAGATTAAAGCTCATCAGTACTTGGCGCCAACGAAACGATCGATAGTTTGCAACGCTTGCTTGGTCAGAAAATACCTTTATCGCGACAACAAACCGCAAGCGCCTCAGTTCACGTCCATTTGAAGTCCCTGTCTTAACTTGTTGTCTTTGCAATTTGCAAGATGGCCGGCTGTGTGCTGGTGAACGCCACAAGCCGATTTTGAGCTGCACGCATAGAACCATGCGCCATACTTGTATCAAGTTAAATGCCGCCGCTTGTAGAGTGCCAGGAATCCGCTGCCTCGTAACATGTTCTTCTTAGCATCCCGAGACGCCGAATGTCACCGACCCACATCAAGATCCTTATCGTCACCATCTGGCCGAGATAGGCTGAGCTGGCGGCGCATCGAGTATTTGCTGCTCAGCCACGACAAGCTGCTATCGAGAACAGATAGCCTTTGAACCTCTGCGGTAATTGAGCGCTTGAATGATCTGTTATTAATGCTATCTCTGCCAAATATGCGTAGCTTGCATCCGACGCCCGTGGCCTTCAAGCTCGCCATCCGGCGGAGATACTGACTAGAATAGAATAGATTCTCTGGTGTCAATGACATCCAATGCTTGAGATATAAAGTCAATGCCCACTGTCATGCTCACGATGGACACAGTTGGTTCCGGCATTTTTCATAATGCTCTTCTCGCTAGCGGTGATCGGTCTCTCGCTGATATCACGACCGGTTCACTCTTTTGAATTCAAGGCCACGGGTCAGACTGTTCACCTAGATGGCATCGATTATTACCTACCTGCCGAGCCAGTGACTTTGATTCACGCACCCAACTCTATTCGCGCCGAAGCAGCGAGATCCGGAGGTCTTACACCTCTGACCGTGGTCACTGTCAACGACACAGCTTTCACCAGTCAAAGCTTGCATGCGGCTATAGCGAATTACGGGGCCTCAGACGACGTTTTCACAGATGGCTTCCTCGGCAATATCTACCTACAATACGTTGCCCCCCGACCGCGAGGGTACAGCGTTCCCGAATACAGCAATTCCACGAACGCAACCACCCATGTTTTCAGCAGCTACGTGAAGAACGCCACAATCATACCTCCCGGGCCCTACTTTCTCTCTTCCACAGGTCAAGTCTACCAAGCCTGGAGACTGTACAGCGACTTCGCTGGTGCCTTCACCGAGTCAGTCATTGCCAACCGAGACGGCTCTTTCGATGTCCTGCCAGCTAGCCTGCCTGGACAGTCCTTGGCTATAGCCGTTCCTTCCAGACTTTACTACACCAAATCTGCCGAAAAACCTCTCGCAGGTGTACGTCTTGGCATCAAGGACATTTACGATATTGCAGGGCTGCGAACTGGAAATGGCAATCGTGCCTGGTACCATCTCTATGGCCCGGCTATTGAGCATGCTACGCCCGTGAAACGACTTATCGACGCCGGTGCTGTCATTGTGGGCAAAATGATTACTTCTCAATTTGCGAATGGAGAAGAGGCAACAGCTGTAAGTATAGATGGGTTACCGACGCAATTTGTGGGATAGAGTTGGTTTCTGACATGTATTCTCCTTCAGGACTGGGTCGACTATCATAGTCCTTTCAACCCTCGAGGTGATGGGTATCAAGATCCTTCGTCTTCCTCTTCCGGCCTTGGAGCTGGTGCTGCATCTTATCCTTGGCTGGATCTCACTCTCGGTAGCGACACAGGCGGATCTGTTCGTGGCCCATCTCAGAGACAGGGTCTGTACGGCAATCGACCATCACACGATCTTGTCTCGCTGGAGAACACGATGCCTCTAGCGCCCGAACTAGATACCGCTGGTCTTCTAACAACAGATCCCATCCTATGGACCGAAGCAGCTCAAGCTCTGTATTTGTCAAACATCACCATCTCGCACTCTTATCCAAAACAGATCAAAGCATACGGATTTCCGCAGAACGTAACTTCCAGCGGCGATGATCTACTTTTGGACTTTCTGAACAAAGTCAGCGGCTTCCTCGGCGCTGATGTTGCAGAATACAACATTGAAGCTCCATGGAATGTCACAAGCGACCTCGATACTACTCTATCAGACCTGACATATCTCACCTACGGCACCCTCATCGCCAAACGCCAAGCCTCTCTCATCCGCGATCCATTCTTCGCAGACTACGCTGCCGCTCACGACGGCCGTCGTCCGTTCATCGACCCCGCACCTTTGGTCCGATGGACCTGGGGCGACTCCTTGCTCGAGACCGCCGTTGAGGAAGCCAATGCCAACCGCACTCTCTTTGCAGATTGGTTCTCAGACCACGTCCTCGTGCCAAACAAACAGACCTGCAGTGACTCTCTTCTACTTTACGTCGGTTCTCAAGCCACTGTCAACTACAGGAATGAATATCAAGATCCGCCGACTGTGCCATTGGGCGGGAACATTATCAGTCGCGCGTCGCCGTTCTGGGGAGGGCCGGATTTCGTGGTGCCTATAGGCTCAGCGAAGTACTACAGTAATATCACACAGCATGAGGAAGTTTTGCCTGTGACAGTTGACATTATGGCCGCGAAGGGGTGTGATGGGATGATATACGGGCTTGTGCAGGACCTCGTTAAGGAGGGAATTTTGAAGCCGAGTGTTGCTGGATACAGTAGTACCGAGGGCGGCGAAGTTCTGTTGAGGAGGAGTGGGAGCTGGTAGACGTTGTGCATGGTTGTTGAATCATGGTCACTATTCTTCTTGACAGACTATGCGTCGGTTTCTGATGCCGGCGTTCCCATGAAAGGGAAAATCAATTGCTGCCCGCTCGAGAAGACAGCGCGTAAGTAAATCGCGATCATAGGCTCAATACCCAACTCCGAGGCCTTCACAATCCATTGCTCGAGCTCGAGCTCCTCGAACTCTTTACCGTACACCTTCTCCATATATTCTTTCAGCTCGGCCGGCCGTACCTCCACACCTCCGCTGTGATGGCGGAAGCGGAGATGTGGTGGCTGTTCTTTCTGGACAGCGGCTTCAGCAATGCTTGCGGCAACTTGCTCCACTGATGCGAAGTCAAAGAAGCCAGCAACGGGTAGTTTGGACACTTGCGGAACCGCGCTCATGAGGGCTGAGAACCTCAGAATGGAGTTGAGAGCATCGTCTGAGGGTGCTTGATCGCCTACTACTGAGCAGGGACGATGAATAGTGATGGAGAAACCGCCTCCGATTTTGCTGGCTTCGTCTGCAAGGTTTTCGAGGAAGACCTCGCCTGCCCATTTCGATGCCGTCAATCCTTCAGATCCATCGTTCTTCGGGGGATGCGTCTTGACGCTGACTGGTGGAAGCGCGGCGTGCGCGTCTTTGGCGAGAAGCGTCACTCGATTGGAAGAAACGAAGTGAATCGGCAATCGACGACGAGACGCCCAGGTTGCGAGAGTTCTGGTGCTCGCAACATTCGTTTGTCGGAGAGAGGCGTAGTTGTGTAGGCAATGACCGTGGCTTCCTGCTATTATGATTCGATCAACGCTTTCCAGGAGACTCGTGGTCGTTTCCTCGCTTAGTCCGAAGTTCTTTTGATGGAGGTTACTGCCCTCGTAGATGACGACGCGTGAGACATCAGTCCCTGCGGGCAATTTGTTCGGAGACGGCACAGCAAGGCAGTGGACCCGGCGAATCGATGGGTTGCGCAGCAATGACTGCAGTATATTGCCACCCAGAAAGCTGTCCGCGCCAGTGAGGAGAACCTCCTTGCATGACGCAACGTTCGCCGGAGCCGTTTGATCTGGACTCGATGCGCGTAAAGCCAACTTCAAGTCATCAGGTAGTCTCGTCTCCTGGTCCCAATTAATTGCTCCTCGAGCAGGCAGGTCTGAGATTCGATCGGAAATCAACTCTGCCATGCTTCCAATTGTGCTATGCATGAACATATCGCGAATCGACAAGTCGACAAACATATCCGTGCGGATAGCTGCCTGTAGCTTCACTAGATGCAGCGATGATCCTCCCATAGCCCAGAAGTCCACATCGGGCCGACGTGGAATGTCGGCGCGATCAAGGACACGCTTCCATAGTAGATGCAGCTCCACTTCCTTCAGAGTTGTGAACTTGGATGCACCTCTATCGTGATCGGAAATGATAGATCTTGGCGGCAGGTGAGTCTGAGCCAGCTTTCGACGATCAATTTTAGCATTGGAAGTCATGGGTATTCTTGGGAGCACGACAACCCGGCTTGGCTTCATGTGTCGTGGCAGGGGCAAACGTTGCATGAAAGTCTCCATTGATGCCTCAAGCTCACCATCGTTGTCCTTCGAACTCTCATTGCCATCATCATTAGCAGGGAGCTGGTCGTTCTGTTCGTTGGGAACCACGTGGGCGACGAGGAATGTATCATCGTTCTCCTGATGGAACGTTACCGCAACGTCGGATACCATGTGAGCACCATGAGACAGAATCGCGTTCTCAACATCTGTAAGGTCGGTTCTCTGCCCACGAATCTTGACAACAGTGTCGTCAACCATCCTGCCCAGGTAGCCAAGGGTGCCGTTTGCCCTCCAGACGCCTCGGTCTCCAGTTCTGTACATTCTTCCTTCACAACGTGTGGATCCGTTGCCATCTTGAATCTTGAAGTTCTCAATGAACGATCTGGCAGTCGCATCAGCATCAACGTAGCCGAGCGCGACTCCCGGCCCAGTGACGCAAATCTCTCCGGGAACACCAGGTGGACAAAGGTGGCCATAAGGATCCAGAATGAAAGCTCCAACATTGGCAAGAGGTCGCCCAACTGAGGTCGCGCCTAGCGTCATTGGATCCTGGATATCATCTCTTTCGTCATGCTCCATTGTGACGCAAATTGAAATTTCAGTAGGTCCATACGCATCCGCGAATACTGGACTGCAAGGATGATTTTGCATTTCCCTGCGAAGAGCCTCGGGCACCTTTTCTCCACCACAATGCGCCAAACGCCAACGTGTCAAGTCAGAAAGCTTGTCTTTGCTATAATGGAGCCACATGAGATACTCGGTAGGACAGGCGAAAGTAAGGCTCACGTTCTCGCGAACCATCAAGTCTGTCAAAGCGACGGGGTCTCCACGACTCGCTTGCGGGGCAATGATCAGAGTACCTCCATGTGCTAGAGCAAGTAGAGCCTCAGCAATAGCCATGTCGAAGCCTAAGTTCGCCTTTTGCAGGATAACCTCGCCTTCTTGCACGCCATGTATCTCGGCTTGGTTGCCAAGGAAATTGAGGAAACCGCGTGATGAGAGTAGGATAGCTTTGGGAACACCTGTTGTACCACTGGTGCAGAGTATCAGTGACGCTTTGGTAGGGTCCTCCAGATTTTCTACTCCAACGGCCTCGCTAGCGTCCGGATCTATGTCTTCGAAGCACAAAACCTCAGCTGCGGATCCAGATTCGGAGACGATCTTAGAGCTCAGAGATTTAGTGGCAGCATGACAGAGAACGATGCTCGCCTCACTTGCGTTGATCATGGCGACAAGTCGTGCAGGAGGTAGTGTTGCGTCCAGTGAGATGAATGTTGCTCCGATCCTGAAGATAGCGAGCATGCCAATGATCCACTCTCGCTGGGGCTCACACAGAACCGCGATTCGTTGCCCCTTGTGAGGCAACAGGCGCTTCGACAAGCGTCCGATGACCATCGACAGCTCTGAATAGCTCAAAAAGCCAGAAGCATCCCTAATCGCAGTCGTGGTCGCATGGTCGCTGGCAATTTGGTCGAATCTTGCAGTGATCGTCGATGGCCAACCATCGAAAGTCGTAGCCTTGGGGCTTCCAAAGTCGAGAGCTTTCTGGATGCCTGCACTAGGATAGATCTGAAGTCGTTCGATCGGACTGCTGACAGCGGATTCTCGGACCACGCTCTCTAGGAGTGTGATATACATATGCGCAAGCAACTCCGTGGCCTCTGGCGAGTACAAATCCGTTCGAGTATGAACTTGCACATAGGATGGGCCAGTGGTAGGCATTGGCACCACACAGAAGGTGATGTCGTAAGGTAGAACGGAGTCAACTGCATCACGAATGCTCAATTTGCAGTTGCCAAGGGGAATCTCAGCGGATTGCCCTGGACGAATATCAAAGCCGACCTGGAACAGTGGTGTGCATGTGGGATCACGACTGACACCCGCACCTTCCAGTATCTCATCGAATGGCACGCTTGAGTGCTTGCGTGCTTCGCGGTATGTGCTGTTGACTTGTTGGATCAGTTCCGCGAATGATTCCGAGTCTGTTTTGCCCAGTCGGAATGGCAATAGATTGAGGAAGAAGCCAACGGTCTCAGCTGTCTCCGCATCGCGACCAGAGTCCGTAACTCCAATGCAGATATCTGGAGTATGTGTGAGGCGTGCTAGGAGGCATTGAACAGCAGCCAAGTAGAAGTTGACTGCAGTAACGCCCAGAGACCGGCTGATGCCGTTGATACGTTCCACGACCGGTCCAGCCAGTTCTGTAGTGCTTGTGTAGTTTTTGAAACCGTCAAGATGAGGGCGACTCTTGGTCGAGGCAAATGGTAGAAGTGGCAATGATTCCGGGACCGGCGACAGCAGTTGTTTCCAGAATGCGGTCGACCCATCAACAGCACGTCGGGCTTGACTTGCAGCGATTTCGGCTAAAGACTTGCCGGAAGACTGAAACGATATTCCCTGGTATGCCATATGCAAGTCCCTGAAGAATGTGCGCCAGGCTGTGCCATCCATTGCGATGTGATGGTACCCGATCAGCAAAGTATGCTTGTCGCTCGCATGAGATACCAAGACGACCTCGAGAGCTTCGCCGCGTTGCAGTCGCCATTTTCGCGTGCTCAACTCTCTTTCCACTTGGCATATCAGCTCGTCATTGGTCTTGCCGTCCTTCGACGACGAAATATGCTTGAAGCAGTCCAGAGGTGTTTCCAAACGGCCTTGTAGAGGGGTATTTGTTGCGTCCTGGAAGAAACAGGTATGAAGTCCTGAGTGATGGGCAACGACGGTGGCAACTGCACGACGAAGGCGAGTCACATTAACAAACCCGGTCAGATCGTAAATTAGTACGTTGTTGTTTTGGATCTGATTGGATGAAACATGATCGGCAATCCACATTCTACAGCATTGAGGAGTATTTGGTCAGCAAGGGAGATTTTATTGTAATTCTCGTAAGCTATCGGCCGACGACAGGACAAGACTCACCTTGCCTGAGCGTGCGTCATGGGCGCAGTATCTCGCAGTGTTTGCGGAGGGTTTGTGTCTTCCTTTTCTTCCGCTCCCATCGTGCTCACGCTGGTGGCCATAGCAGAATCGCCAGCGTCACTTGAGCTCGATGAGCCTGACTGTTTCTCGTCTGATCCTGATACGCTCGCCGCATCATCCTTCTGCAAGTCCGTTTCGGGTGAAGCTGAATCATCTTTGCCAGCGGCAGATGGCGCTTCCTTGGCTGTCTTGCTCTTCTCTGCCAAATATTGACTGGCGGCAAAGGCACAAATGGCCTCGCCACTGTCTCCGCCCAAGATCTTGAGGACAGGAACATCGACATGCACTTCCTTCAAGAACCAGGTGCGCAGCTCGACTGCCAGAAGTGAATCTATGCCCACATCAAGCAAAGAAGCGTCAACCTTGAAGTTGCCGCTGGCCATCTGCAGCATAGTCTCCACTCTGGCTGCCAAGGCTCGAGTGAGAACAGCAGCCGCCGCACCCTCAGTTGTAGTAGCATCGAGTTGAGCAGCAACGGATAAATTATCACCATCTGCTCCACTTGTCACGACGTTGGACCCTCGTTCTTCTCCCACGTAGTGAGCCGCAAGCCGGTTATTGAACCACGGAGGGTGTGCTTCGAAGGGAGTGTTAGGAGTGTAGTTATAATAGCCCATACCCGAGACAATCTCGGCAGTTGTGGAATCAACAACTTCTCCTTCACGCACCGGACTTGCTGCTACCGCTTCAGCGAAGAGCTGATGCACATCAGCCTCAGATAAAGGCAGCTTCATGGTGCGCGCAAGTTTGTCAAACAGTGATTGGCCGCGCTCGGCAACGTATCCCACGTCTGCCACACATCCGACTTCCATGACGGACGCTGGAAGTCCCTTCTGACGGCGTTGTTTCGCCAGCATGACTTGATAGAGAGATGCAGCATCGTAGTTGGACTGACCTGCATTGCCAATGACGCAAGACAGAGTCGAGAACAGAATGAAGAAGTCCAGCGTACGGTCATCGAACTCCTCATGCAAGTTGAAAGACCCATCAACCTTTGGCGCAAGTACCTCGGTCATATCTGCCAATTCCATGTCAAGGAAGAGGCGGTCTCGAAGCACAAGAGCAGCATTCGCCACTCCTGCAATCGGTGGCATTTCAGAGCGCATCGTAGCGACTGTGCTTCGAACCGACTCCCTGTCAGAAACATCCATTCTGTAAACACGCACATTGGCTCCCAGTTGAGCCATCTCTTCGAGCCACTGAGGGTCGACCTTGGGACTACGACTTGCCAAGGCAATGTGTCGTGCACCATTTTCGATCATCCATCTGCAGATCGAACGACCCAGAGTCGATACCAAGCTGACCATAAGGTACGATTTGTCAGACGAGAAGAGTCCACGGCCGTTGATAGGTTTCACTGTGACTTGCAAAGGATGTTCGGTATCGATCGACCAGTCCACCACAGCAGGGTAGTCGAGGGAGGAAGCTGGTGCATTGCTTAAGAGGTGTGCCGGTACACTGGCTTCTGCTTCTTCTGTTGTGAGAACGTCCGCGGCTAGGACCTGCTCGAACGAGCTCTCCAAGTCTGAGAGGAGCAGAGCTTTGCCTTCGAGAACGAGCTTGTCCAAATCCAGTGCAGCGCCAGGAAAGATGGAAGTTAGCTTAGAACCCACAGCTTCGCCTTTAGTAAGGTCCACGACGAAGCCAACGTTGGGTGGTAGTGCTCGTTGTATGATGTAGTTAGACGACCGCGGATGCAGACGAACGGCGCTTGGAATGTCGGTTTTAGCGCTGGATGTTGACTCAGTGAAAACCAGATTCTGCTGCTCTGCAGCTAGATGTTTGATGGCATCGGCCAGAGCTGCAGAAGCACCGTGTATGATGACCTTGGACTCCTTCTTGGACCTGCCAGTTGAAACAGCCGCAAGTACGTGCTGAGCCAAGATGAGTTGAGCACAAGTTCGCAGCTGCTTGGCAGTATATGGTCGCTCTGATTTGAGATAAAGGACGGACGCAGCAGGTACCGCAAGCTGGGTACTGTGCGAACTGACGAGAGCAAGAACAGGTTTACCTTGTTGATCATAGCCCGTGATCAGGACGGCGGAGGCCGACCCGGGCACTGTCACTGAGAGGCTGGTCTGGATCGTGACAGCATCTGCAGGCGCCAAAGCTTGCCGCTTTGCAGGCAGTAGCCAGGGTGCATCTTCTTCGATTCTAAGTTGACCGGTATGTGCCACAGCCGTGTACTGCGGACTGTCCACACCGACTGAAGTCACTGCTTTGGTGATGTGCCGCGCGGCGGAGTTGTGCCGGTCGTTGCGCTCCACGTCAGGCAGAAGACGCGGGATCAGAACTTCTTCTTCTGACGACACTGTCAACTCGGGCTCGTTCGACCAAAGGATTGGCGAAGCGGCGAAGGAATCCGAGGCACTCAATTTGAGGCGTATGAAAGCCTCAACGATGAGGCGGGCATCGGATGCCCTGGTGCCTTTCGTGATAGTGTTCAAGAATTGCAAGTTGAGGTGCTCCAGCTCGACGACCATTGTGCGGCACAGGCCTATCATCATGGCTGACGAAGGATCATTGTCGTCTAGATGTCCGGTCGTGACCCACAACACATCCGTTGCGTGGGCAAAGAGGGACTGAAGCTTCTTCAAACGTGACTCGGTGACTGGATCGGCAAAGAATGGTCGTTCCAGCTCGCACAGCGCGATGACTGCCGTAGGAGCTGATGTGTGGACATCTGGGTCAATCTTGTCGACGCTTTGAACGACCTGAACGCGTCCAGCAAAACGCGACACCTGCTGAGAAATGCTTCGAATGGTCTTCGACATTGCCAGTGACTCTCCGCCGATGATCAGCACTTGATCACTGACAGGTAGCTCATCCAGGTATTCAAGTGGTTCTCGAAGCATTTCGATGCGTGTGTCCGTGGCTTGCGACACGACAACGGAGACGGCATGTGTAGCAGAATCGGGAATGTCGCTCTGGTGCTTGTCGACTCCAGTGAATCCCGTCTCGCGCAGAAGATCGTCCCAGCCAGAGAGTGTGAGACCAGGTTGACTAGCTTTACCTTCACGATTTCCAAGCCACCAACCCTCGAGTGGACCCATGAGTAGCAAGCCTTCGAGGTACTCGCCTGTGACCTCAAGCATGAACAAGTATCCTCCTGGCTTCAGAAGGCGACGAACGCTTTCCACGGACTTCTTCAGATCTGCTGTCGCGTGCAAGACGTTTGCTGCGATGATAACATCTTGAGACTCCGGCTCGAAACCTTGCTCCTGAGGGTCGCGTTCGAGGTCAAGAACCTTGTAGACAACTCGATCTGCTGCAGCAGCTTCGGTCTTTGCCAATCGCTCCCGGGACTTTTCGAAAAAGCCGGCGGAGATGTCCGTGAAAGTGTATTGACCAAGAGCATCTCCAAGCTGATCCAAGATTCCTACAGTAGTACCGGCGCTACCTGCACCGACTTCCAAGAAATTTGCACGAGGATAGCGGTGGGCGAAACTACGGACCAAGTCTGCGATGGTGCGGTTCAGGCGCACTTGGTATCTTCCGTGTGAGTAAAGAGGAGCCCAGACCCCCTCGCGAAGATAAATTTCGAGAGCACGCTCCTCGCCAGCCATGACTTGTCCGAGATGCTCCCCTGCGACATGGATGGCCCTCATGTCTGGTTGACTCTGAAGAGCTGGTGTTTGCTTATACTCTTCCATGAGCGCTGCGGTATCATTCAGCCATGACTTTCGCGCCACTGGGTGCCTCCCGTCCGCCGTGAGCTTCAGCACCTGCTTTGCGGCTTTGCAGAAAGCCTGTCGATCCCATGTCCATTCTGCCATCTGCGCTTCGGTAACGGTAGAGAAGAACGCGCGTAAATAGTAGAAGGAACTTCTATTCACCGCCTCGATCAACCTGAGCTCAGCGTCATCAGGAGTGAGTTCAGCAAGATCATTGCCGTTCGCATAGAAGAGGTCCGGTTTGTATTCGAGACGAGAGAATACCGGGCGATCTTCTTTCGCGCTCGGCTCCGTCCAGTTGTCCATTCTGAAGCCTTCGACTTGCATCATGCATTTCCCTGATGGCCCGAACACATGAATATCGCCCTCTACAGACCGAACTGTGTTCGTTGTCAAGAAACAGTCTGATTCGAAGACTACCTCTTTGTCATCTTCCGTGATAGCACTCGTATGCGGATCAAACACCAGACGAGCCAATGCAGAAGGCAACAGTGATCCGCGGATTGGGATGCGAGTAGGGTTGACAAACGCTGCCAATATCGCCTGCAGAGCGACATCCAACAAACCTGGGTGAACAAGATAACGATTGCCCACCTCTTCGACAGGCCAGGACGCAACGGCACTCGAGAAGCCCATTGAGCGACGAATGTGCTTCATGCCTCGGAAGAGTCCTGTATAGTCTAGTCCTGTAGTGTTAAGGATGGCCTGGTAGTACGCTTCACCCTCTATTGACGTTGTGCCGGAGCGTGGAGGACATCGTGTTGGCAGTACTGATGCTTCTTCATTGTCTGAATTCTCGTCGGATGGGAATAATTCAATAACCACGCGGCCACCGCAGTTCTTTTCGAGAGCGGCGCCATTGACGCTAGAGTGGCAAGCGAACTCTGCTTCAATGAATGTGGCATCAGAGCTTGGCTGTCTGCGCATAGAGAAGACCGTCTCAACCCCGGTATGGTTGTCTTCTAACACCAAAGCGCGTGGAATGACCAGATCGCGGATCTCAATGAGCTTGATTCGATCCAATCCAGCGGTTTCTGCGGCAGCTTCGATCGCTAGGGCGATGTAGCTCGTGGTGGGAAACAGGATTGCTCTCTGGAAGACGTGGCCTCGAGTCCAAGGGAGTTCGCTGACCTTCAGAATATTGCGCCAGCGCATCTCATTATCTGAATCGTCAGGAGCGCGTCTGCCGAGCAGCTCATGCGGCGCCCGTTCTGCGAGACGATACCTAGCAGAGATTCTGCTCTCTTTCCAGAAGACTTGATCATGAGACCACTTGTAGCCTGGAAGTCCCTTGGGTACCGCGGCCACGGGTGCTGACTCCGGTCCAAGATATGCTCTTCTCCATCCGTTGAAGTCTACCCAGGTACCAAGAGTTGTCCAAAGCGATCCGAGTGAAGCAGAGAAAGCTTGCACATCGGGCTGACCTCGTTGCAGCGTTGCAGTGTACGGCAGAGCCGCGTTAGCGCCTAATATTGCCGTGATCGTCTGGGTAGCGGGGCCCTTTAGTGCTGGATGAGCGCCCACTTCGATGGCAAGATCGAAGGGACCGGCACGCCAGAGCGAGCATTCGATGGCTTCAGAAAACAGAACTGGCTGGCACATGTTGTCAACCCAGTACTGATCAGCTAGCACTTCAAGATCCTCTGCGTCGTCCAGGATCTCAGCATGACCGTGGACCGACGAGATCCAAATGCATTCCTCGTTCTGAGGTAGCACTTTTATATTGCACGCCTTCAGTGATTCCAGATAAGGTTTGGCACAAGGCAGCATGTGGCTTGAATGGTAGGCCGTATCGACCTTCAGCAGCCTTGCGAACGTTCCCTTCTCGTCCAGCGTGGCCTTGGCCGATTGCACGACATCCTCGTCACCGGACAAAGTTGTAGACGTAGGAGAATTACTGGCTGCCACGCTCAGTCGGCCTTCGTAGGGCTTGCAGAAGGCCTCTGCATCATCAATGCCCAGACCGACAGCCAACATGGCCCCTCGCTGGCCGTTCTTCCCTTGGGCCAAGTGAGCATGCAGACCACGATAGTACGCGACTCGCATGGCATCTTCGGCAGAAAGTAGACCAGCAGCATATGTCGCCGCAATCTCACCAGAAGAGTGTCCGACAACGCCACGGAAGGTAACTCCCGAAGCCTTTAGTGTATCGACCAAAGCAATTTGAATGGCTGTGCACAGTGGCTGGGAAAGTGCTGCTTCGTGTAGTCGGGATCTCGATTGCTCTTGAAGGAGCTCTTCTTTTAATGACCACGCTGGTCCATCCGGTAGTGACTGAAGAGCAGCTTCGCAAGATTCAATACTTTGCCGGAACAAGTGACAGCGGTTCACCATGTCCCGGCCCATCGTGGCCCACTGCGCGCCTTGCCCGGTAAACACTCCAAGTATTCCGGGTGTGTGCCACTTGAGTCTCACAGGGGCTCGCACGCCGAGCTCAGACGGTGCTGTGGAGCTGGAGGCCCGCAGGGCCTTGATAAGGGCAGTTCGAGACCTTCCTGGGAAGTAGATACGTTGTGGAAACGTGCTCCGCCGCGTCTGCGTAAAGAAGGAAAGATCTTGCACGCTGGGATCGCTGCCGTCTTCTTCGAGCAGATCGGCTAAAGACTCGATGCTAGCTGCAAGCGCGCTTCCGGTGTACGCCGACAAAAGTAGAGGCCCAGCAAAGAAGTCGTCAACGATGGAGATCTGCTCAGCTGCCTTTGCAGGCTCAGCTTGGGGAATATATTGTTCTATGATTGCGTGACAATTGGTCCCTCCGAAGCCAAAGCTGTTCACGCTTGCACGCCGCGGCGAAGTCCCAGACGGCCACGGGAGCGCTTCTGTGGGAACCTGGAGACGGTGGTAGAAGGGTTTTATGTCCGGATTCAGACGCTGGAAGAGTAGATTCGGTGGTATTACTCCATTTTGAATTGCCAGCGACGCTTTCAGTAGACCAGCAAGACCAGCACAGCCCTCCAAATGCCCGATCACTGTTTTTATTGATCCACAGAAGAGTTTCGTTTCACTTTCTTCCTCTGCGCTGTCATCCGAATCATGGCCAAAGAATGCGCTGTAGATGCCGCGAGCTTCTTGAGGATCACCAGCCATGGTTCCGGTGCCGTGCGCTTCGAAGTATTGCGGTCGGTCGCTCTTGAGGTTTAGATCGAGCCCGGCACGAGCGTACGTGTCACGGATCAGCGTGGCCTGCGCGTCACCGCTGGGCATTGTCATTCCTGTCGTTCTGCCATCCGAGTTCATGCCAGTCTCTCGGATAATACATTCGATGTGGTCGCCGTCCGCTAAAGCCTGGGATAGCGTTTTGAGCATCAGTGCTGACACGCCCTCGCCTCGGGCATAACCGTCAGCAGAATCGTCCCACATTGAACTGCGCGACGTGGGCGATAGCATGTGGAGCTTTGACTCGGATATGTAGGATGTGCTGTCGAAAATCAAATTCACGCCTCCGACTATCGAGCTTGTCGATTCGCCGTTGCGTAATGACTGCACGGCAAAATGCAGAGCAGCAAGAGATGATGAGCATGCTGTGTCCATGGTCACAGACGGGCCTCGAAGATCGAATACGTAGGAGATACGATTAGACAGAATGCTTCTCGTAGAACCAGTTCCATGATAGCGGTTGATGATCTCTAGATCTCGCCCCTGAATATCGCTATAGTCGTTGGTCATGCAGCCAACATACACTGATGTCGCGCTGCCTCGCATCTTGTCAAGTGGATATCCAGCACTTTCGATGCATTCGTAGACGCTTTCAAGTAGAAGTCGTTGCTGTGGATCCATTGCGTCTGCCTCCATAGGATTGATGTTGAAAAAAGGGCCATCGAAGAGTCTGGGGTCCTCTTCGAGTAGATAGGCCTTAGCAACAACGTTTGTCGAACCATGATGCTCCCCGTCTTCGTGGTAGAATGCGCCAAGCCCCAGGCGGTCTTTTGGAATGTCGGACAGGACATCGCGTGGATTTTTCAAGAGTTGCCATAATTTCGAAGGAGACGAAGCACCTCCAGGAAATCGGCAGGATGAGCCCACGACCGCAATAGGCTCTGGCATGTTTAGATTCTAAGTCCTGTCCAAATGGCTGCTGTGAAGAAGTATGAGGTGAGTCGTTACTGTTGGGGAGAAGCAAGAAAGGTTCGCAGATGGCAAGTATTGCACCGAGCGTGATGGATGATCACTTGTTCTTTTGCTCCCACCTGTCGCCTTTGCTCTGTGCACATTGAGTATGCATGGCTGCCAGGGCATCTGATAGTCTCGCATGGTCGCTAATGTGCTAGACGAAGCCACAACAGGGCATTTCATCGGCGCGTGGGAGGGGTCGTACACACCGTGTCCAGGCTGCTACCATCTAGAAGCACCAGCGAAGATCTGCAGCCTTCTAGCGCGTAATGCTGCAACACATGCACGCACGCGACACCATGGACATGGGCTTGTTATCGGCAGCGCAATGCATGTCTGGGGTCCAGGTCAATGTGCTACGCCAGTGTTATCGGCTGCAGCATGAATCTTCACATTGTCTCGCCGCGTCGGCATCACCGAGATGATGGGCCATACTCGGCCTCAGAGCTAACGATCAGACAACTGGAGCAGCAATCGCGGCCAGCTGACACAAGTGCCGGACACGCTGCGGTATGGCTTCGCGCAAGCCAAGAGCACAGCGGCCGTCTCTGGTGCACAAGGCCGGTAGTGCTGTAATTGAGCGTCCTCGGGTCGGCAGCTCGTACTGTAGCGCAACGGAGACGGCTTCGATATGCGGATTACTGAAGACAGCATCGCGCTAAGATTCAATGCTTGCAGGTGGGAGTAGAAATGGACGAAGCGCGTGTGGTGGTTTGAGGGAGAAACGGAATGACGACCACGCGTCTTGATCAGCGCATCGGCGCTCGGACACTCGGATGTTCCCCACAATTCCATCGTCTATCGCTATCGCTGGCTTTTCTCTGGGACACGACTTCACCTCTTCGTCCCACCCCCGGCCGGCAGATTCACGCGACACATGGCTTGAGGAATCCATTACGTCCAACAGACGCCCTTGGAATGCACGATAGGCCGCTCGCTGGCTACTCCGACTAATCCCACCACGCCGAATGACCCTGCCGCATGCTCCTGGCACAATTGTGCTCGGATGCACCTTCCACTGCCGAGATCACGAACGGCGTCGAGAGTGTCGCTTACGCCAACTCGAGAACCACCGCAATGCCGTTCACTAAGCTTTACAGGATCCGACTGCACTGACAGGGGTTCTCAACTAGGGCGGGCACACGCGAGCGCTCGCAGGCCTGCTCGACATGAGCCTGCTATCAACCGATTGCTATACGATGGAATACACCAGTTTCTTGCCTTCCGTTAGCCCTTTTCGCAACGCATCGACGCCTTCCGGGATGGCAGCTAGCCCTCCGCTTCGTAGGTCGATGGGATGCGTCTGGAGTACCCCGGAGTCCAGCAGCTTCTGAGCCACCGGATTCCACGTCTGCCCGAAGACCTTGTGCTTTGGTCGCGGCGCTCTGGCGTACGGCCGTTTCCATCGAATGCCTTCTCCGCTCACAGTCCATGCCACGATCCACTCTGGGCGGACGTCGCGCCGCGTATGAGAACGTATTGGGAATTGATCAAGTCCCACGTATCGTCCCCCCTGGCTGCCAAGCGCATTGTAGCATATGTTCATGCTCGCGCTATCTGTGATGCAGTCGAGAGCTTCTGTGAGGCCATCATTGGTGAATTCACGGACGTCGTCTGCCACTGTCGGGATATGGTAATCAAAACATGCAACCACTCCAAGCGACTTCATGCGCGCGAAGTGTCGCGGTGAACAAGCTACGACGGGCTGCATTCCGGACCTGCAAACGGATCAGCAATAGCCCAAAGTTGACTCGCGTGTCTGCTCACAGTGCAGCACACTGAACAGCCAAAGTTCCTGTGGCCGTTCCACCTCCATAGATGAAAACATAACGTCCGGTACCATTATTTCCGGGAGAATCCAGCGGCAGTGGAACCTTCAGCATATAATGAAGCGCAAGGCCAACCGTCATGAGCGACATCCCCAGCGTCGCCGCATGCTCAAATTGCATTCCGTCTGGGACCTTCCATGCGACGACTTCGCGTATAGTGGCATACTCCGCAAAACCACCATTTTCCGGAGCATCTGATGCGTTGCCTTTGACTGGGCCGAAGACTCGGTCGCCGACCTTGATATTGTTCCGGCATTTGGCACCAACTGCAACAACTTCACCCGCGACATCGCAGCCAAAAGTTGACCCTGGAGCTGGGGAAAGATCTAACGATTTCCTATCAAACTTGTCAGACTTTCGATTCTCCTCGTAGTGGAAGCTCCAGCACCTCACCAATCAAACGGATTCAGCGCTACACAATGTACTCGTACAAGAACATCTTCGTCTTCGAGCTTCGGTAACGGGACGTCTTTTTCCAATCGAACAGTGCTCGCTTCGACCACCTTGATCGCTCGCTGGCGGTCTGGCAGTGGCAGAGAATGGTCAGCAGCCATTGTGTCTGTGTTCCCTAGTGCGAACAATCACAAAAATGAATCAACAGTAGGTGGATGTTAGTAGAAACAATGCGAGGCTCTTGAGAACGACCTGAGGTGTACAGCAAGCTCTGGCCGAGTGTCCTACATGCACCTAAGTTCTTGGTATTGATAGGCACAGATCTAGGATAGCCCGAACGCCAAGCCGAGCGTATCCACATCCGCAGCTGGCTTTGCGGCGGTAGAATGACTGCCAATATACGGCGCTATCACTTCCGCCTATGCTCGCGACTAACAAGCGGGATCGAATTTAGCCTTGCGTAAGGCTCAAACCGCAGCATCCTGGGAATTCCGTATCGCGGCCAGTGTGGCTTTCGATGACGGATTGAGGTACTATTGAACCCTGCATCAGACCTGAGACCACCACCCTGGTTGAGGCTGGGATTGAAGCTACCCCGGCTCCACGTAGCATCAAGGGCGTCTGCAATTCCGCGTCCGCACTGATGAGCTATGGAGTTGACAGCAATCGATTGTGTCCCAGATCGGCGAGCCAATGAGCATTGCAGCAAGGTAATCACAAGCCAGAAACAACATCGACTGCCGAAACACTTTGCTGCCATTGAAGGCTACCTCTGTCGAATTTTGATTTCGTTGCTTGATCATCGCAATCACGATACTATAATCAACATAGTGTCGTCGTTGCGACAAAAGTCATGGAGCTTCTCTTCCTGGGAGCGATTGTCGCTGCCTTGGGCCTTCTCTTCAAAATCTTCCAGGTATGATCTCGATGCAGTACGAATGTATGGCTGACTTCCCTGCTTACCATTACCAAAGTTTGCAACGCAGCCTCGAGATCACCTTGCGGATGTACCCGGGCCATGGTACTCAAAGTACACCTCACTCGGATTTACCTTCAACGCTTTGGTTCCCCGTGTTCATGAATACGTCGACGGGCTACATCACAAATATGGCCCTGTTGTTCGTCTGGGCCCGAATATGGTCGCAGTCGCGGATCCTGATGGAGTTGCCGACATATTCCGATCCAGTCGTGGCTACTTGAAGGGGCCTTTGTACGACTCACTACTGCGTAGTTTCTTCTCAACCAGAGATCCCGTTCTACACGGCCAGCGTCGGCGTCTCTTTGCTCGTCCACTCGCAAACTCGTCTCTCCAGACTTTTTGGGCGACTGAGGTGCGCCAGCGCGTCACGCTTACTGTACAACGAATCAAGCGCGATGCGGAAACAAACGGCGAAGGCGATGCATACACATGGTGGAACATCATGGCCAATGACGTTATCACTAGGCTTTCGTTTGGCGAATCGCTCAACCTCCTGGAGTCTGACGAGGTAACAGATGCCCGGATTGTTGTATATCGCAGTTTCTAATCCGCTTGAAGCACTTAGGGTATATCGAGGCAGTAAAGAAAACGCTGCGATGCTCATCGCTCTATCGAAATTTTCCGAGGCTCATGCCGGTGATCAAATACCTTCCCATTCGTCGACTGCAAGAACTGCTTCAGGCGAGACCCAAGGTTGAGAAATACACCGCAATGGCAGTAGAGAACTTCCGCGCCAATGTGAAGCAGCAAGACGACCAAGGCAAAAATCGCAATATCTTCACGCAGATTGTGGCTCAAGCTGATGAATTGGACGGCGAGACTGTTCGATCTATCACAGACGATGACATACATGATGAGGCTCTCACACTCATGCTCGGTGGTACTGATAGCACATCCTCTACTTTGACTTACACAACTTGGGCCGTGCTGTCCCATCCTGAGATCCAGGCTGAACTGGAAGAGGAGGTTGCCGGTCTTTCTGACGGCTTGTCGCAGAAGGAGCTTGAGCAAGCGCGTTTCCTGAATGCGGTGATCCATGAGTCTTTACGACTCTACGGGCCTGTTGCCGTCGGCCTACAGCGCGTGGTCCCGCCTGGTGGTGCTCGTATAGCTGGTTTTGATCTTGCCCCCGGGACAGTGGTATGGCCACAAATGTGAGTCAACAGGCTCTACTTGCCGCTTGTTTTTTTTTTTTGGCACTGAATGTGTCTAATCTGAAACAGGTACACTACGCGTTACGATCCGAACATCTGGCCGGACCCGCTGAAGTTTGATCCAACCCGCTTTCTGGATGTCAAATTGCCATCCATGGCTGAGGGAAATCTGACACCCGTCCAGAAGAAAGTGTATGTCCCCTTTGGAGGCGGGACTCGCACGTGTCTCGGAATGAATCTGGCTTATATGGAACTGCGCCTCGGACTTGCTTTGTTCTTCAGGGAATGCAGAGGAGCCAGACTATCAAAAGCCATGTCGCCTGAGGATATGACTCCGGATTATTTCTTCGTGAGCTCTCCGAAAGGACGGAAATGCTTGATAACTCTTCCAAACTGGTAACGTCGGCGCTCGCAACACATCTAGTCCTCAGCTAATGGCAACGCCCAATCATGGTCTTCCTTCCCGCTCAAGATACCAATCAAGCCACTTCTGATGATTTGAGAGCATAAGAATCCATCAACAGGATCACTATTGATCTCAAGATCTTGGTCATCCGCGCAGATCACGCCGACAGGCGTGATGAAAAGCGCAGTCCCCGAGACAAAAGCTTCGATAACGTTTCCCTGCCCATGTGCAGTGAACAATTCGCTCATCGTCAATTGTCTTTCAACGACATCTATCTGAATGGCATCACCCACTGCGGGTTGCAACCTTTCGCGAGCCAACTGCAAGATGCTTGCTCGCGTAATTCCAGGAAGGATGAGACCGTCTTCCACGGGAGCAGTGACTAGTTGCCACTTCCTATCATTGACTCGTAGCACGACAAAGAAATTGCTTGCACCAGCCTCGGTCACGAACCTCTCAGATCCAAACAGCCAAAGAATCTGATCATATCCGCGAGCCTTTGCTTGGTCTTGAAGATGCAGCGTGGGACCATAGTTAGCGCCAACCTTTGTGTTTCCATATCCTCCAGGCCAAGCACGAATCTGGTCCTTGTCGGATGCGAGGAGTTTCATCAACCTTTTGCGTGGCACTTCCGCCGGTTTTGGCTGTGCTTCTGGGCCAGTTATTGAGCTCGTGATCTTAGGGAACACAGTCAAAAAGATGAAAAGTATAGCTGAGCGAGGTCGCGAAGTAGCGAGGGCTGTATCAGTTCCAACGAGAGTCGGTCTGATGTACAACGATCCATCTCCTTGATCTTTGGGTAACCACTTCGGTGCCTCATGAGAGCACAGAGCGACAATGAGCTTCTCTAGCTCAGAAGCATTGAAATCCGGCAATGCAACTCTGGCAGCCGAGCTCCGCATGCGCTCACAGTTCTCAATGGGCCGGAAAAGTCGCAGCCGTCCATCTGGGCCACGGAACAGTTTCAATCCTTCGAAACATTCTGTTGCGTAATGTAATGCGGACGCGGATGGCGCAAGCGGAATCGGTCCATATGGCTGCAGCGAGGGAGAAGACCAGCCCGTGCTCACATTCCAAGACGCAATGATCATGTGGTCAGTGTGATAGTCCAACAGTCGCACTTCAGCAGAACCCGGTGAAGGCAACGGCCTTGGGTCGCTGTTCAGGGTTTTCGTCAACAAGCTCGCGTCGAGCTTTGCGGTTCCTTGGGTCGCCATGGTATCTGTTGTTGCCACAGTGGGTGGTACCTTTCTTGAGATTGATGTTCGATCTGTGTGCTAGAGATTCTCACGGCCGGCCGGGGTAACAACTGTTAAGCAAGGTTAGTCTTCGGCACATTGATTTCCCCCATGCCTGGGATCAGAGCAGAGACTGGGGTCGGCTCTTGGACAAGGATCGGATCTCCCGAGTATCCTTGAGCGCACCAATGCGCCTCGCGACACCTAGTCTCACCCCTGGTTCGAGACTTGGAGACTTCTCCAAATTTGGTAGTGTATCTGCCAACGCCACATTCGTACGCTACAGCGGTATCATCACGGCCGCTGCTTCGGCGGATACGACACAAGCGATTGCAACTTGTGCATCTTCACACGTGATGGCTTTGACACTACTGTAGGAGGGCTGCAGCACAAGACCCTAAAGACGCGTTCCTTGGGCCAACGTGATAAGCACCTCTAGCATCTATCTTTCGTAAGCTCTATCTTCATTGAGTCAAGACCTCAGCGGTGCAATCCAGACTACCAGAAAGCATCGATCGTACAACAATTTTGAGCACAGCCAGAAAAATTGGAAGATGGGCTCCGTCGAAAGCGAACTCCAATACCAGCTTACGCCCGAGCATGGCGGTACTGATGAGATTTGGCCTGGACTGGTCAAAGCTTTGAGAGTACCACGTGTGATGGTGAAGATGAAGATCACAGATGTCCGTGGCTCAGAGTCTGATTACAAGGTCGATAAGCAAGGCTTTGCATGGGTAAAGGCGCCGACAGTTCAGAAGACTTGGGAAGATGATGATGAGATCAAACGAGTCTACTACCCAGAATGCGAAGAGCTGCTCAAGAGAGTGACTGGGGCCTCTCATGCTTTTGCCTTCAACCACGTCCAGCGAGGCGAAGACTGGTCAAAGGTGATGAAAGATGTTGAAAGCTACAAAGACGACGATATTGAATTCCGCTCGGCCAACAATTGCTACATTCACTGCGACTATTCTTACCGCGGAGCTGAGCAATTCTACGAAAGACTCGTTGTCAATGGACCAAGAGAGGATCTCAAGCCTTTGGCCGCGCATCCCAGACGTCGCTGGGCTTTGATCAACCTCTGGCGACCTCGCAAGACAATCAATCGCGACGCCCTGTGTGTTGCCGATGCACACAGTATCAAAGATGATGAGCTTGCCGAGCAGACAATTCGCTGGCTCAAACCGGAGCAGCTCACTGAAGAACAGAAGAATCATCCCCAGTTCAAGAAGTATCAAGCTGGCGCGCCAGATACTTTCTTGTGGGCAGTGAAACCCCCAGCAGACCCGGAAAGTCACAAGTGGTACTACGCTTCAGGCATGACGCCCGATGAGGTTTTGATATTCAAGATGTATGATTCAAGAGCGGACGATGGGATTCCGCGGAGAGTCCCGCACACCTCGTTTAGGAGCGAACATGACAATGGGTCACCGAGGGAAAGCGTTGAACTACGAGCTTTCGTGATCTGGGATGATCAGGATGGTGATTTGTGATCCACGACAGACATGGTTGATTGACTGGACGAGGGATCGCATTGCGGAAGAACATCATGATAGCGGTCAGCACACGACGTATCTCTCTATCTGATCAATCATCAACTCAACCCTCAAGGATGGGTCTTGGCACCGATAAGTCTGAGACCCCGGAGTGATCACAACCTCGATGAGCTGGTGTCTTGCAACTGCGGCCACGCGGCACATTACGTGGGGAATATTGACCAGAGCTTCGAATCGATGAGCAATAAGAACACAAACAATTGAAACTAGCTGCAACAGATACGTCGCTTGCGCACTCGTTCGGCGGTACCCAACTATCTTGATGACATTCGAGAAACTGGTCTACTCTAGTGTCACTACAGGGATACTGCAGCATAGACCAGGGGTAGCTCCAGGGCTGTGCAGTTGTGCAGCCTTGGCGAACTAGCATTTATGCACACTCCGCGTTGCTTCAATTCACCAAGCTTCAGATTACGGGTCCACGCCGGCACTTTGCTCGTGTCGGCATCGGCAGATGGCTACGTACGGATCCACATTGAGCAGACGTCCCTCTCGTGTCCTTATCGCAATGTTGACTTTCTAGTCTCTAGTGCCTCGCGCACTTTAGCTTGGTCTCGAGCATGGACAGCCGAAGCCGAAGATGCGACAATGTTTCGCCGCCAGTCAGTGCGGATTGCTGGAGCAGTGCAGGATGCATTCCCTTTTGCTTGTCAGGCAAGACAGGAGCTGAGCTGGCGTACAGAGTAAGAGCTAGCCAGCAGCTCGGATGCCAAGTCTCTATTTGGAGAGACAGGCTCTATCCTTTCCTATAGACGGCCAGAACTGAGGAGAGGCAACACTTGGACTCGGATGTTGAGCAGTTGCGTGCGGAGATTTCGCATGCTGGGAGAAGAATGACAGCAGAAAAGGCTCAGGATGCCAGCAGCGACCCATTCCAGCACCTGCCAGAACATGAGGCTTCGGTCCTGCGAAAGCAGGTAGACACGCCTGCCTCTCCAAACCTCACTTGGAGAACACTCTTTCGCTATGCTTCAGCGCAGGATGCCTTCATCATTGCGATCAGCTCGCTTTGTGCTATCATTGCAGGAGTCGCAGTCCCCTTGAACACTGTCATCATTGGAACCCTCGCGGGAGCCTTCAAGAACTTCGCAGCAGGCGACCTTCCTAGAGCAGAATTTGACAGCCAGATTAATCATAAGACACTTTACTTTGTGTATCTGGCCATCGGCGAATGTTAGTGCATTATCTCCATTCCACGTCTGCGAACTCGAACATGTACTGAGTTGTCTTGTAGTCGTCACAATTTACATCGCCACAGTCGGCTTCACGTACACGGGAGAAAGCATTACTCGCAAAATCAGAGAAGAATACCTCAAAGCCCTGCTGCGTCAAAATGCAGCCTACTTCGACAAGTTGGGCCCCGGCCAGATTATCACACGCATCACGACGGACACAAATGTCATTCAAGAAGGCATTTCCGAAAAGATCGAACTGGCACTCGTTGCCCTTTCTACTTTCCTAGCAGCATATATCGTTGGCTTCATCAAGTACTGGAAACTCACGCTAGTCATGACTTCGGCGATACCGGTGCTGTATTGTGCTATGTTCGGACTGACGAAGCTCCTCATCAAATACAGCAAGCTATCTTTCATTGCGTACAGTCAAGGCGGTGTTCTGGTTGAGGAAGCACTCAGTTCTATCAAGACTGTTACCAGTTTCGGCGCCCAGGAGTATTTGGCTAAGGAATACGATACTCACTTGGCCCGCGCAGAAGGTTATGGGCTACGATTGAAGTCCATCGCAGGCTCTGGCCCTGGATTCACGATTTGCATCTTCAATTTGGGGTATGCTCTGGCTTCGTGGCTGGGTAGTCAGTATATTGTCAAAGGCGAGACGAGTTTGTCAGCTGTTTTGACAATTCTACTGGTCATGATGCTTGGAGCCTTCTCTTTGTCGAAAGCTGCGCAGCACACACAAGCGTTTGCGAATGCTGTCGCTGCAGCCACTGAGATATACGCCACGATCGATCGAGTGCCTCCGTGGAACGATGATCCGAACAAAGGACAGATTATAGAGAATCTGGAAGGCCGCATTGAGCTCCGAAACGTAAGTTGTCGCCATACACTATGGGACTCCTGGGCTGAGGAAGATGCTCACGACTACCAACAGATCAAACACATTTATCCATCTCGATCTGATGTCGTCGTGCTAGAAAATCTGAACCTTACAATACCAGCTGGAAGCACAATAGCCATCACAGGTGCATCAGGATCCGGGAAAAGCACTATCGTCGCTCTTCTAGAACGATTCTACAGTCCTGTATCTGGCAACGTGCTGATCGACGGACACAACATCGCAGACCTAAACCTTCACTGGCTGCGTCAACAAATCGGGCTAGTATCACAAGATCCAACACTGTTCTCAGCCAGCGTCGAAGAGAACATCTTGTATGGTCTGCGAGGTACAGCATTGAAGCAAAATGCCAACGACAGAAGGAAGTTGGTCGAAGAAGCTGCTCGACTTGCCAATGCCCATGAGTTCATCATGCAACTTCCCCAAGGATATGACACTCATGTTGGAGAACGAGGATCTTTTCTGAGTGGTGGTCAGAAGCAGAGAATCGCGATCGCGAGGGCAGTTATTAGTAACCCAAAAATCATGCTCTTTGACGAGGCTACCAGTGCACTGGACAGCAAGACCGAGGGGGTGGTGAGTTTGTCGTCGAGAGTTTCAACAGGGTGTAGAAAACTAATGATTTGTCAATCGTCCACAGGTACAAGTCGCATTAGACAAAGCGGCTCAAGGTCGAACAACCATCGTCGTCTCCCATCGCATGAGCACCATCAAGAACGCCGACAATATCGTCGTCCTGGGTCAAGGCGGCAAGATCCTAGAACACGGCACATACGATGAGCTTTCCGCTATCAAAGGCGCTTTTCATCAACTTGTCGAAGCTCAGAATATGGCACAACAGACCAAAAAACCTCAAGAAAATGACTTCGTGGATAACGAAAAAGCTGCACTCGTATCCGAAATGACAAACGAGAAGGTTTCAACAGAATCTCACGCCGGACGGAAGACCAGCACGAGCAGCGAACAAGACCCTCATACGATCAAAACAGCCGACGAGGTCTCTACCCCCAACCAACACGACCAAAAGCCCACCCACTACTCCCTCTGGACCCTCATAAAATTCACCGCCTCCCTCAACCGTCAAGAATGGAAAATCATGCTCTTCGGCATCATCGTCTCAATCCTCTCCGGAGCCGGCGAACCCGTCCAATGCGTAATCCTAGCCCAAACCGTCGCAACACTCTCCCTCCCCTCCTCCCAGTATCAAAAACTCCGAGACGATGCAAACTTCTGGAGTGGAATGTTCCTCATGATTGGACTTGTCATGTTACTCTTCTCTCTTGTGTTCGGAGTATCGTTCGCCTATGGGAGTGAGAAGCTAGTGCGCAGGAGTCGAGATCGAGCTTTTAGGTCGATTTTGAGACAGGATATCCGATTCTTTGATCGGATGGAGAATAGTGTTGGAGGGTTGGCGGCTTTCTTGAGTACGGAGACGACACATCTTGCTGGTTAGTTCTCGTATTTGCTGCCATGGAACGCTTGGATGCTGACGAACACAGGAATGTCTGGACTTGCTCTCGGGACTATCGTACAGCTTGTAGCAACATTGGTCATTGGCTATATCGTTGCACTCGCTGTCGGTTGGAAACTGGCACTCGTTTGCATCAGTACAGTGCCAATCCTGCTTGTAGCTGGGTTCCTCAGCTTCTGGAGTTTGGCACGATTCGAAGCCTATCTCAAGGACTCCTACCGAGAAAGTGCCTCCTATGCTTGCGAGGCTACGTCTTCGACACGAACCATCGCGGCTCTAACGCTCGAGAAGGAGATCTGGCAGCGATATCATGATCTTCTGGTAGATCAAGCTTCGAGAACACTTCGCTTTAACCTCAAGTCCAGCATATTGTACGCTGCGAGTCAGAGTCTTGGATTTCTCTGCATAGCTCTTGCGTTCTGGTATGGCAGCAGCTTGCTTGGCGAGTACTCCCTTTCGCAGTTCTATTTGGTCTTCTTCACTGTCATCTTCGGCACACGCTCTGCGGCCAATATGTTCGCCCTAGCGCCCAATATGGCGAAAGCAAAGGTAGCAGCCGGAGAGTTGAAGAGCTTGTACGATCGAACCCCCGAAATCGATATCTGGAGCCCCGAAGGCGACATCTTAGAGGATATTCAAGGCTCCATCGAATTCCGAGACGTCGAATTCGCCTACCAACCAGGACACCCGATCCTAAAAAATGTCAACTTCAAAGTCCTACCAGGCCAATACGTCGCCTTGGTAGGATCATCCGGCTGTGGCAAATCAACCATCATCTCCCTCCTCGAACGGTTCTACAACCCCTCAAACGGAAACATCCTGATCGACGACAAAAACATCTCAAAACTCAACCTCGCCTCATACCGCAAATACCTCGCGCTTGTACTCCAGGATCCAGCACTTTACCAAGGCACAATTCGCGAGAACATCCTGCTCGCAGTTGAAGACAAAGATGCCATTCCGGAAGAAAAACTCGTAAAAGTCTGCAAAGAAGCTAATATTCACGATTTTATAACCTCTTTACCATCCGGCTTCGAGACTGTCGTGGGCAGTAAAGGTACAATGCTCTCGGGAGGTCAGAAGCAAAGGATTGCGATTGCGAGGGCTTTGATGCGTGATCCCAAGATTCTTTTGCTGGATGAAGCGACTT